CCTCCTCCTCTATGCAGCACTGGTCAGGTCATGGCTGGAGTATTGCATTCAGTTCTGGGCGCCGCACTTCAAGAGGGATGTGGACAATGTGGAGAGGGTCCAGAGGAGGGCCACTCGCATGATCAGTGGGCAGCAGGGCAGGCCCTACGGGACCTGAACCTGTTCAGCCTTCATAAGAGAAGGCTAAGGGGGGATCTAGGGCCTGTTACAAACTAGTCAGAGGGGACCAGCAGGCATTGGGGGAGTCCCTGTTTCCCCCCAAGCACTACCAGGAGTGACTAGAAATAACAGTCACAAGCTGGCTGAGGGTAAATTCAGATTAGACATCAGGAGGCGCTACTTCACTGTCAGGGCAGCTAAGATCTGGAACCAATTTCCAAGAGAAGTGGTGCTGGTTCCTACCCTGGGGTTCTGGGGTCATTTGACCCCAGTATTCTTTCCTGCCATGGCAGGGGGTCGGACTTGATGATCTGCTCAGGTCCCTTCTGACCCTACTAACTATGAAACTATGAAAATTACCAATGACTGCCATCCACCTAGTCAGTAAATTGAATGGATCATTTACCATTTTGTTCCCAGGTGTGGCTTCCATAGAACATTTTATATGGAATATATGTTTCATAGATTTCATACACTTTAGGGCTGGAAGGGACCTCAAAGATCATCAGGTCCAGCCCCCTGCCCCGGGGACAGGAAGTCAGCTAGGGTCAAAGGTTCCCAGCAAGATAAGCATCCAAGTGTTTGCTGAATGAGCCCAGAGTAGGTGCCTGCACCACTTCTGGAGGGAGTCTATTCCAGGTCTTGGGGGCTTGGACAGTAAAGACATTTTTTCTTATGTCCAGCCTAAAACAGTCTTGGAGGAGTTTATGACCGTTGGTCCTTGTTTTTCCTTGGGGCGCTCTGGTGAACAGAAATTCTCCTAGGTCCTGATATACACCCTTTATGTAGTTATAAGCAACCACCAAGTTCCCCCTGAGCCTGCGCTTTTCCAGGAGGGCACCACTATGACAGGAGAGCTAGGGGCAGATGTTCAAAAAGCCTGAGCTTGAATTGATTCAATCTTTGCAAATTAGTCTAGCCTGCAAAGCCTGAACCTATTTGGAGGTGAATAGACAGTCTGTTTTAATTCCAGAAATGCTGGCACATGCCTGTTGTGGCACAGGCTAGAAAGCAGGGGGTGCTAGAGTTGCCCTCCCTCCCCTTTCATAGTGCTGAACTGAGGGGGGGGCACGTGTCCAGGTCCTGGCAGGACACCCTAATTAGGGAGGGGTTTAAACCCCTCCCCGCCCTGGCCTGCAACATTTCAGACTTCCCCTCCCTCCCCTCAGCTTGCTGCTCAAGGAGTGGGAGTATTACCAAACCCCAGCCCTGGGCTAGCACTCTGAGGCAAAGGGGTGTGTGTGCAGTGCATGCATCTGCTGATGCAATTTCAATCTCTCTCTCCTTGTCTGCAAACCTGTCAGGGCTGCAAACCAGCAGGGGGAATGATAAAACCACAGCATTTATCAGCTCATCAGCAAAACAAAAGCCTCTCTCATTAGTTCAAGCTCTTCTTAAACAGCAGTTCCAAGGTGGGACATTACCAGCTGACCTGTTGATTAGCTCCAAAAAGCCCTAAGTGGACACTGTTCTGTCTGCCTTTGTCCTGTCTGCTTTTGTCCTGTCCCAGTTAAATTGGAGACACACACACAGACACATCTCAGCATTAGCTAACATACCACTTTCCTAGGGTCCGTGGGGCTGTGCTGTGGGAGATGGGAAGGAGGAAGCGGGGGGAAATCCCTGCTTGAGCAGTGAGCGGTGAGGAAAACCAAGTGGATCCTTGCCCCAAGAATAGGATCCCTCTGCTGCCTTTCTCCTCTCCTATTCTGAATAAAGGGAGCGCCGTCAGAGGGCATTGCTACGGGAACCTAATGGTAGGTACCCAGACTGCAGCTAGATTCTCCTCCCACCTTGAACCAACAGGGAACTTCTATTTGGTCTGGGGTAACATAACTCAAAATGCTTTGAAAAAATCATTCTGAGTTACAGCTGGGAGCTGCATTTCTGTCTGCACCCCAGGTGACACCCTATGCACAGACAGAAATGACAACTGTTGCCTGATCTGGCCCCTGAAAGTGCTCTACAGCTGTGACCAAACACAAGCGCATGACTGAGAGCTTTAAAAGGGCATGATCCTGCAACAATCTGAACCCGCATTGCATGAGGTTTCAGATGAAGATGCTCCAAAATAGGGCACCCTCAGTAACTTCTGTCTGTGTGTGCCAGAAGCAGGGCTGAGCTGATGCAGTTCAGCCTGCTCCCAGTAGTCTTCAAAATAGGAGAGGGGGAAGAGAGCAGAAGGAGTTCAGTCTGGGATTTTTTCAGATGGCACTGGAGGGAGGGGTGGAGGGGGTTGGAGCCTCCCCGCCCAAGGCTTCAATCCACCCACCCAACCAGTGCCAGCTGGGTAACTGCCAGAATGAGTTTCCTCTGCTCCCTTTCCCCCCTCCCATTCTGAAAACAGCACTGGGGCTAGGAGAGGGGGTGGGCATTGTTAGGGGAGAGAGGCTGCAGATTTGCAGCTGCTCTAAACAGCAACTCGATCTCCCACCCCTGGGACCCAACAGTGATTGTCTGTTGGGCCTGGGGGATCGTTGTAACTCACGGCACTTTCTGCTCTTCTGTCTGTGCCTCCTGTTGCTCTGGCCAGGTTCTGAAAATCCCTGCCTCAGTTGCCTATTTCTCCCAAAGATTGGACTTCACACACTGAGCTTAGAAATAAAAATTACACAGCCCTCCTTCACTATATGTAACATAACAATGAGTGAAGAAACACTCAAGCCTCATTTAAGGATCCAAGCCTCAGGCTGCAATACTTAAGAGAGTGATACCTTAAAAAGTCTAGGTTTTGAGTGTCTAAGTCACTTTTGAAAATAGGACGCTGCATTTTTCTTTACAGCAACAAAAATATGACAATATCCATGCATTAATGACCGTCACATGAACCTTACCACTGAAATAGTGTTGTCCTTATTTGATGCTTGTATGAATGAATATGTAAAGGTATTAAGTAACTGGAATTAACCCATTTTTTCTTTAAAAAATTAGAGAGAAAGCCCCCCCCTTTTTTTTTATGAAGTGCAATTTTTTTTCATTAAGTCCTATTGTAATGGCCACAACACTGAAAGCAGTATAAAACTGAGTTTTTCTGCTAACAGTAATGCAACTTCCAGTGAGTACACTGGGAGCAAAGATTCAACCCAATATCAAGAAACTCCAAATTATGTTTCGGTATTTAAAGCAAAATTCAACTCCCTCTATTCCCCAATTTAAAAAAATACTCCTTATTGACCAAATATTCCCTTCAACATGGTCTCCTGAATGGGGCACCCAAATCTGAAAGTGCAAACATGACAATGGGAGAAACAGAATGCTCATTTTTAAACTGAAATATGGAAACACTAATATTCTAATGATTTTGAACATATTAAACAAATACAGGAACTATGATAAAACAAATACATACCAGTCTATTATAGGGCATGTTGTACAACATATCTCTCAAATGAAGACTGTCTAGTCTGCTTTCTTTAGAAACTACAGAAACAGAAGCAATGCTAATCCAAAGAGAGGACTGGAGTGATATAAAAGAGTATAACAGGATATGCATATCTTAAGGCTCAGAGGGTCCATTCTGATCATGTAATGTGGCATCCTAAATAATACAGGCCATCAAATTTCACTTAAGATGTCAAAAATTCTGTTGATTTTTTGGTGTAAGTATGGTTCATTAACTGGACCCTGACAAGAGGGAACAGGAGAACTTTAGAGGGAGACCCTAAAGGGAGACCAAACACAAAAATGAAGTTTAACATGAAGTCTATACCATGTAACTCCTTGCTGAATTAAAAAAAAGCAAACCCTAGGAAGGAAGTGATTTTTGGATGCTAACATGGAGTTTGTATGGTTTGTTGTAAAGGGCGTCAGGGACTCAATCTGTTCAGAGGGCCCAGTGGTCTCAGCTCCTGTTAAGATTCAAATTTTAGGATTCAGTTTTGAATCATTTAGGCTCAGAATTGAATCCCCTGGATTCAACCACCTTTTCTCTTAAGTTGAAAGAAGGAAAAAGACAAATTCATGGACACTAGATCTATTAATAGCAATTAAACAGAAACAGTGATAGTGGATACCATGTAGGGTGATGAACACAGGATGGATCACTCTAGATATACTCTCTGTTTAATGCTCTAGCTTTAAAGCCACTGTCACTGTCAGAGACAGAACACTGGGCTAGAGGGACCGTTGGTCTGACTCAGTATGCCACTTCGTGTGCTCTTAACTGTCCATATGATACTACATTTTTGTCCAGTAGTTTCTACTCTGGGATGTTATCTGTGCTAAGGTGTTGCTAGTATTGCTTACCATGTGGGTGATGTTCAATGGTGATCTTATCTGTTGGGAAGAGAAAGCACTGTTAGAATGAATCTGGTTCTGGCTTCAGAGTGAATGTATCTATTTTTTGCCCTCTGCATACCTTTTTCAGATTGATTTCAAAAGAAAAATGATTTTCTCAAAATTTGATTCTGTTCCAGAAAGCTATCAGTGTTGAATTCTATCTAAAATAGATTTTTATCATCAGTTGAGTATTCCGCACTAATTGTCACAATTAAATAGCAGGGCAGGTTGAATTATTTTTAATGAGGCACCATTAAAAATAATTCCAGTTGAAAATCTGATTGGCATTAGTACTTACATACAGTTTTTAGCTATCTGAGTAACTGTCTTATGAAAGCTACTTATTTTATACATGCTCACTTTTAAAATCCTTCTCACTAAAAGTGTGTTAGCCTCTGGTCTAGGCTATATAATTATGAATCAGAAGCTATATTGTGTAACATAAAGGACCAATCACACAGCTCAAATAATGAGAACAGTTTACTCAAAGGAGCTCTTGAAGACCACATGTATTCATGGCTGACTTGAAAACAAATCAACAGACTGCTTTTATCAAGTGAACTGTTTTCTGGAAATAGCCCATTCATAATCCTGATATTACAATGGGAAATACAATGTATATAGGAAAGCTAATCAGTTGAGACCAGTAGAGAAAATCTGGCCCTACAGAAGTTAATGGTAAAACTCTCACTATTGTCAGCAGGTCAGGTGTCACCCTAAAAGATGAAGTCTTGGATTACATCAAAAGAATGTGAGATAAACCATAAAATGTTCCTTACAAATCTCAGGTCTGATCTAAAGACCAACTTGGGCTTTGGATCAGGCCTCTAGTACAGACTTGGCATATTTATCCCAAAGCTAATTTCTTTAGTGTATTGAGATGCTACTAAATTGTAGTTTACCGTACAGATTTTCCTTTTCTACTCTTTTTCCGATAATGGAGTCTCGGAGCTGGCGTACTTTTTCCTTAAGTAAGAAACAAACACAAAGACAACAAAAGAAATCAATAACTACAGTTGATTGTAAAAATAATGAATGAATAGCTGGAACAGGTTGGCTTTTTAGTATTCTGAACCACTAGTTCTTCAAGCAGGAAAATCATTTCAAAGGGCTATGAAAAATGCCTATACTGCTTTGCAGGTGGAGCTTTCTACTTTCAGCATTTATATCCAAGTAGCCTTAAGGAGTGTTCCTTCTTTTAGCAGGTTATGCTGTGCCCAGAGCTAGAAGATAATGACACTTTCACATCCACATTAACATACGGCTTTTCTTCACTTCCTAAAAGACTGTGTCGTTGTGCATATTGTGTTTTTTACCTTGGGATAACTATGTAGCATGAAGTAAAATTACAATGAGACCAAGGCCACTTAAGTTTTACCATGGGCAAAACTCACTAAGGTTGACTTGGCAAGTTAACTCATGCTAAAACAAAGGAGTCTTCTTGGCTTTACTGTTTCTTTACTTTGAATAACTTACACACATTAGTTACCCTGAGGTAAGAGGGAAGCAGCTTTTTTTAGCAGTAAGACAAGCCCTTAGGCTGTGTCTTTCTTCAAAGTTTTAAACATTTTATGGCCAACCAAGAACTAAGGTGTAGCAGAAAGAACCTTAGGGCCTAATTCTGCCAGCCCGACTCAAAACAGATGCACTGTGAATAATCCCAGTGGCTGCCTACAAGGCACACTGATTCTTTTCTGTTTCAACTAAATGTTTAGGGAACAAACTTTAACCTGTGACTTCATCTCAAAGTAAGGATCAAAAGGATGTTTCAATGGGGCTTTAGTGGCAGAATCATGGTCTAAAGAATCTGAAGGGTATGATATTCTTCACATTGTTGTGTGAGTGATCATTTTTGCAAGGGCAGCTGCCAGCATATAAAAATGGCTGTATTTGGGTGCTGAGTGAAAAGAGATGCATATATGCATACAGTACACATCTAGATTCTCAAGGAGACTTATTTGCCAAAATGCTTCTTTATGCATCTATGAACAACATTTACGCATGACTGGAATTTGCAAAATCCCTACATGCGCTTACATAAAAAGGGTTTAAGAAACCTCCCCTTTCCCTAATTGCTGAGTAGTTAGAACAGTCCTTTCTCCATCTCAGGAGAGCTGAATTTATACCTCTCACCCCCACAAGAGCGCCTAAACATTACCTCTCACAAACTACAGGGAATTCTGCAATGGATCTTTGCTTTTAAAACACTTTAATTAGTATGCAATATTTAATTTTTGGGCCACAGAGGTGGGGAAGAGGATGAATATAACTCAGTGGTTAGAATACTCTCTTGGGAAGGAGACCGGCTCCAGTGAATATTTAAGTTTTGCTTTTATGAAGTGTAATAGTGTCAACAGGAGCACCCCAAAGCCATTGGGTATTATGGGATACATGGTATGAAATGTGGATTCAAGGTCCCTTCAGGTGAAGGAGGCTTGTCTCCTGGTCCAAGTCTCAAATATTCCAGGCAAATGCTGTATTGACTGGGCTACAGGGTAGAAGGGAGGTATTACCATGTCCATCTCCTCAGACTGCTTTTGAAAGACAATATTGCCCTCCCCCCCCTTCAATTTTGGAGAGAAAGAAATTCACTCTCTTTGAGGGACAGTATGCTGAGTTCTGAATTTTATCCTGAAGTCCCTAATTCTCCCCATGTAGTATGTAGTGGAGCCTGAATCCTTGACATGGGGTTGTAAATACCATTAGAAGCAAGGTGCCTAAATTTCTATTGTGAATTTGTCCCTCTGACATCTACATAAAACATCATACCAGTATAATACGGTAAGCTTGAAACAGATAAACTTTCATTAGTTGGCTCTGTTGTCTTTGGAGTTGCCTCCCCTTCTGTACATTGTTTTTTTCCAGTTAGGAAGATTAATGATTTGGGGAAGGATTTGAATACCTAGTTATTATTCTTCGGTGCCAGACAGCTTACTTCAGTGATCAACATACCAAGGCAAAGATTTAAAAGAGTTCCTAAACTTGAGGTCCTTAACTCACAGTAAGTTCACGCAACTTAGCTTGGTACCTAAGTGCTGAGAAACAACTAACTTTCACTGAAACTATGTAAAAGGTTTTTTTACCTTAAAACAGGGGCCAGCAACCATTAAAAGCCACATGCTGGAACAACCAGCTCTGGTTCAACACAGGCCATGTGGCTTTGGCAGCATATCAGCAACAGGCGGCTTTGCCTAAACCTGCACTAGAGCCATACACAGCTGAAAACTGTCCGTGTTGGTGCTGCTTCCTCCAGCACCCTACTCTTTAGAAGTGGTGCAACTTACAGCTGTACCAGGGCTGGGCAGCTGGAAATGGAGTCCTCAGTGCCACTGCTTCTCCCTGCCTCCTCTCCTCTGCCACTTCCTACATGCAACACAGCTCCCTATCCTCTAGAAGCTGAACCCATGCTGCAGCCAGGGTGCAGGGATTCTGGGGGAAGCAGCAGCTCTTCAGGCTGTAGGCTGCATCTAGCGGCTCCATACGCCGACTCCAGCTCATAGGCTGTATGTTGCTGACCCCTGCCCTAAGCAATACAAGCAAACTGCTGGGTATATAGTGTTTTGAAAATTAGGGCACTTATTTTGATGCCTAAATCTCCACTTAAAAGTCAAACTTTAGACACCTATTTTTGAAATTCTTGATTAAACTCTCCAGAAAACAAACATAAGCCTTCAGAATTATACCTGCTGAGGGATATTTGAACTGCTTTTTTCATTCTTCCATTGTTTAAATTTCTCAAGTGCTTCATCCACAGAAATAGTCCCTTGCTTCACTCGTTCTTGCAGAAGGATCAGTTCTTCCTGCCCAGAGGGGATGCAGTGTCTCAATGTGGTGTAAGTGGGAGAATCAGTTTGACCTCTGTCTATAGGTATCAAGTTAAAAAAAGAGCACAAACTATTATTAAACCATTTCCAAAATGCAAGTGCATGTCTCATTAAGAGCATGGGAGCAGCAGTTTTGTAAGCACAAAGCAATACACCTTTATTATTATTATTATTATTTTTTTTTTTTTGCATTTATAGCCCAGCTATATAGAAAAATGCAGCAAGGCATTTTGCCAGAATTCTTTTGCAGTAATGTGTTCTAGTGAACAAAACATTCAAAATCATTGCCATTTGACTGATTAGTTCACTTTTTCATTAGATTGACTTTATATTGTATTTCCTCTTTGGAGATTGTGCCATACCATTAACTAATTGTAAAATTCAACGGAATCCTAAAGCAAGCCCTGGCATATTATAGCAATGGCAAGTTTTCAGAGGTATGGACCATGGTGTTACCCGAGAACAACAATAGACAAATCCCCAAATCCCGTTAATGGCCATTTTCTTTAGGCCTCAAATTCACATCGAGTGTACTCCAGTTACACATGTACCAGATAAGTGCATAATTTATTTAGCTTCATAATAAATTGCCAGTTCCACTTTTTTGTTTATTGCTTATAATACAACAAACATTTATTATCCTCATATTGATTAAATGCACAAATTACTCAAGTGCATAAAATTTTTTACCTCTACAGTTTATTTTGCAAAGTAACTGCACCCCAGCTAGCAGCACAGAAATGGGGAAGCATCTACTAAAAAGCTACTTTGTTAAATGCCTTAAAAATGATGAGAGCTAATTGGTTTCAGGGCTGCTACCTCCTCTTGCTTCCACCATTTCTAATACCAGCCCTGAAACTATCAGAAGCATTGAGAATGCTGTGTGCATAATAAGCACTGGTTACATTAAGTCTGAATATATGCATAGGCTGGCACACCCTTTTTTTCAGTCCTGAGGCTATGCACTCAAGTGGAGTGTACTGTACCACGCTTTTCAATAGCTGCTGCTATAACTTGGTTAGAATTTCTTCAGGAGTTTCACTTATTTCACGCCATCATAACTGCCAGACAGTACGCAGAAACAAAACAAAAAAAAGAAATCTATAATTTCTTTGTAGCCTCATAAGGCCAGATTCTGAGCAGCTGAAAGGGAAAAAAATAAGGTCTCTGCTGCTACCGTCACAGCTCAAGGGCACTGGTGATTTGGGGGCTCTAAGCAGATGTAAGTAGGTTGTAACAGACTTGAGGCTGCTTTAATTCATTCTGGGTGCTGAAACAGCCCCCAAATCAGGAAACTGGTATAAAGTCACTGTTGCTCATGTCATCTCACCTTAGATACTATATAGAGCACAGAAAGAATTTAAGTGCTTAAACTATCAGTTCTTCAATGTAACCTTTTAATTGACTGTACCTGATTTCCCTGCTCTGTTTCTATATGGCATACACCAATATTAAATGAAAGATGACAAGTTATGCAAAGGAAAATACCACATTTTCCTACAGATAATGCACCCCAGAATTATAACACACACCCTGTTTTGAAAAGATAGCATAAAGATATTAGTTTGAGTAAGTATCTGAGTAGCTAGGGAGCCAAGACTGCTCCTGAGCCTGCTGACAGCCCTGTGCACTGGATGGGGCCCAGAGGCTGACCCTGCATGCTGGCCGGATTTGGCATGCTGGGTCTGGGGCTACAGACTGATCTGGTATGGCAGGGCTTAGACCATGTGCTGGGCCCAGTCTGGCGCATTGAGTCTCAGCCGTGTGCTGGGCCTGATCCAGAGCACTGGGTTTGGAGCCCTGTGCTGGGCCCAGGGACACATGCCAGGTCCAGCCACAAACTGACCTTGAACACTACTGCAATCTGTGCCATAACAAGGGTTATCTGGAGGGAGCCACCAGCCTGGAAATTTGACAGTGGGGGTGTGGCGGCAATGTTAATTGCCAGGATTCCCAGAGCCATGGCAATGAATACTGCCACAGCTCCCTGCTGTCAAGTTTCTGGACCCATAGGGATCCTTATTTCTTTCATATTAAATGCACTGCAATTTCTACCAATTGGTTTGGGGGAAGAAGGTGCAAATTTTATGTGAGAAAATATGGTATACTGATGAAGAAGAAAATATGATCTGCTTTAAACTAGACTCGCTGGGGGAGGGGGCTGCCAGAA